GATCACTAAAGCTTAGAACAAAGAAAAAGGCCTGTGATTACTGTGTTCATGGCTGCTTTGTTCCTCGCTGTAACAGAAAAACTGGATATCGACACTCCAAATTTTGTTATTTTAGTAACTCTTTATTTTCCAGGCTCGTAGATGCATCAAGCGGTGCATGTGTGTTATTCTTGCGAAACTTGATACCAAATCGTAACTCGTTACTGGCCAAACTTGAAGTGCTGCGGATACGCCCGATTGTTGCTTTTGCCGACAAAAATCGCAGTGCCAAGCATGGGACTGTGCCCAGGATCTTTCTACATTCACTGCAGAAACGTCACGGTAAGTTGCGATGAAAGTGACAATACTTGGACTTTGAGTAAGAAGAGAATTAAGTTGTTCCTTATTAGAGGCTGTAACTTCCTGATACCGATTTGATATAGCTCAGCGGACTGGTGTGTCACTACTCAGTTTTTCTGAGCATCACTTTAGTATTTCAGATTTCCAACTTCCGTGGTCCCCGAGATAATAATTTTCCTCGCCGAAACTTTTACGGGCCGTAATTGATGCCCGGGCGCGCGAGAAGGCTAAATTTAAATCTGCAGGATTGTATATGAGCAAGGGAAACGGCAATGATAATTCCTCTTTAGCAAGCGTTATACTTGTGTGGAAATGATAATTTACAGTAAATAACAATTTAATATAACAATTTCAGTAGTTCTGGAATGTGGTCAAACGGATAATTTATCGTTTTTGGTGAACGGGCACGCAGCTGCTGCACCGTTGTGGTTGTGTGATACGATCGAAGATATCCCAGAATGGCCTGGCCCTCCGTACTGTTCAGCACTACCGCTACCCGGTACGATGACACTTCCGTCCTCACAGCAAGCTATAGCAGCGGGGGAAAATCCAGTGATTCCAGAATTAACTCTCTGCTTCGGAGTTCTCTGGAGAGCCAGTATTGTGAACAGCGATGGTACCTTATCAACAGGTTGGTTTTTATGCGTTTTATGCTATATAGCAGCAGTACAAAACGCATATTGTCACGGGATTGTCTGTGTGCGCAGCGACTTGTCCGCAATTTTCAGCTCGGGAACTACGGAAGCAAATTTTATAGGCATATCACCTGCTCACGTGTTAC